CTGCTGCAGCCCGGGTTCATTACAGGATTGCGTCAGGAAGGGCATCTGGCCTAAAGCACATGCCAAAGTTCAACATGCAAATCCCCAGTGTGACGACCCGCTGTGGTAAGTATCTTATTTTAACATAAAATAAAAGGAAAAAACCTTTATTTAAAATCATGGGAAATTACTGTACTTACTGTATATAAGATGGTTATTTTCCATAATTTTTTGATAATTTTCTGTCACGCCAGCTGCCAGAATTTTACTGTTTTTATGCTTCTTTTTTTACAGTGTTTGGTATTTGACAGTTGCCACTTACATTACAGTTTCATGCCGTCATTTGGCAAAACTAAAAATTTAAATCCCTGTCTTCAGATTTATACTGTATTATCAATGTTATTTTCACAGAATGAGACAAACATCTTCCTACATTTTAAATGTGCTTCAGCAAAATATGAAGATGAATAATGCAGAGAAAGACAGGTTTTACCCTCCAGACTCTTCAGAAACTCTGGTTGTACATGTTTGTCCAGCAGTCGGATCTCAGCCATTTTCTCTTCCTCCAGCAGCAGCTTCACCAGGCTCTTTCCCAGGAATCCACAGGCTCCTGTCACCACACACACATCACCCCTCAGAGACATTGCAGGGTGATTCTCTCTGGGTATCGGGGACACACACAAAACAAAAACCCAAACAAAAAAACCCCAATCCTGTGCAAAAGTCTTTAGAGGGCTCTCAAGAGCCTTTGTAAAAGGAAATCTCAAAGTGACAACAAAGAATACAGCTGTTGGAAGTTTCGTTTTCAGTGTGTAAGAGGACAATAGCATCTCCTGCCGTCCCAGCCTCAGCCCTTCTACCTTTTATAATCTTGGAAATGTTCCTTGAAAAAACAATTCATTCCCCCAACGCAGTAAAGGCGTAAGGATGTGTTACTTCATGATGGACTGTGGTGGTTTGTGGAGCCAGACAGTCAAGGACAGTTGCTATAACCTTCTATTTAAAAAGATAATGTAAATACTCAGGAAAACAATAAGTATCTCAGTACTGTACTTGAATACAATAGCTGAGTAAATGTTCTTTGCATCACTATTCATGTACTCTGTCGTTTCATTTTGTCTACACTGTGTGTACAGCCCAAGTTAAATCTTTAACTTTACACATTTATAATTTTTTATTTATTCAAATACTGTACAAACACTTGTGCTTCATTTGAGCAATCCCATTTTATGCTCATTTATACTTCACTGCATTTCAGAGGGAATGCATCTACTTCTTACCTTTTAAGAACACTTTGTAAAATTTTAATCTTTGTCTTCAAAGTGAGCTGAAACAACTGAAGACAAAATGGCATAGCTGCTGGGATGTGACTTTACATGGTCAGAACTCTTTAATGCTTGGCTTAGAAATTCAGATGAACAGTTTTACAGGGTTCCTTCAAAAAGGCAGACGAGTATATTGGCTCTGTGTGTCAGTAAAACACGCTCCAGAGGGAAGTTCAAGGTTAGATGTGCTAAATAAAACAAAGTTTGACATCTCAAAGTGATATGGGTCCACCAGATGGTCCGATATGTTTTCCATTTCACAGTGATGAATTTCAGCTGGCCTTGGTTTCCTCAGTAAATGGTACACTGGGTCATATAGCTGTGTGCTGGAAACTCTGAGTGTTGTAGGGTTTTTCTGTGAGTGTCACCTTTTGCTTATGGGCACTGCCTCTGTCCTTTGAGTTCTTACCATACACACTTCAGTTTAAGCAGGAGCCCAAAACATTGTTTCTTGGTGTTGAGCCATGAAGGGCTTTTATCGGTTCTTTTCTAAGTAGATGATTTGCTTTTTTGTAATCAAGTACACAGAGAACAAATTCGGTTACATGTCTCACATCTTTATTGTACAATAAAAGTTACTGCTAAAGTGGATTCAGAATAGCTTTGGGCATGTTCTTCAAAAATATCTCATATAGTAACTGTTTGCTTCTTGGTATTTGTAATCCCTCAGAGCAATCATATATAAGGATAATCACCTTTATCACCAAGTGTGTTACACACAAGGAATTTGTTTCCGGTACAGAACCAATGGCAGCCGGCACCGAGATTCAAACCTTCAACCTTCTGGTTGGGAGACGACTGCGCTACCCACAGCACCACTGTCGCCTCCCCAACATCCTGTTATCTTATCTGGAGGGCGTGTCAAGGCTAGCTTCATCGTCATGCACTGACATCAGATATACTGTACAAAGTGTATGTTTTTGTATGCGATTGTGGGTGTGTTAATATCACTGAAGGACTCTGCTGACAGTGAACAGTAGGAATATTAGTGTAAAATGAATCATAATCACCATTTTATTTTCATCTTAAACCATAGCAGATCAATATAAATATACAAAACATATCAAACATGTATAAATTCATTTTTCTTGCTATGACAGTAACAAGTTGACTGAGCTCCTATTGTAACAAGACGGTACAACAATTAAATCCAGAGGTTTGTCACTGTCTGCCCTCATTTACTTTTAAATGACTGAAACAAGTCAGGACTCAAGATGTCCTGCTCTGAACCACGAAGCTCACACACAGTTTCACATGGGAAATGAGCTGCGGTACATTCCATATGAATCTACTGGGACACTGAAGTAAAGCTGATCTCTCTTTGCTGAACGTTTATGAACAGAACTGTTTTGCTTTATATCCAGTCATATTTTAAGCTATAATTCTACTGTAGATTATTTACCATTTTTTTCAAATTCAAATAAAAATTCTTAGACCTTCTGTTTTATTGGTGACACTTTATAATACAGCCTGATAAATCACAAGATATACCATACATAATTAGTAAAAACTGAGAATCTATGGGATACAGCTGTTTTTAAAATTGTGCAATTAAAGAGTAAAAAAAAGGGAGAGAGTAGACTTACATTATTAACAACCCTCATACTTTATTTATTCTGTGTACTGTAATTAAAAGAAGTTAAATAATTAGTACTACTAGGAGAAAAGTTTCAATAGTTTAAACTAATGAGCATTCTAATGATGTGGGTATAACTGAGACCCCCTCTTTTGGTAAACTGACTTAAAGAGCTTTACATTAATTTGCCCATTCACCCCATTAAAACAAACCAATGGTGATGGTCACCAGAAGGAACTCGGGGTTCATTTCAGCATAAGGACTGGAGGTCAAACAACCAAACTCCTGGTTAGGGGGTGAGCCTCTTTACATATTTTAATTTATTTTCTCATTTCCTCTAAGATGTCTATTATATCTTCCTGATTCCCATAGTCTTGTTTTCTCCCACTGTACTTACATGTAAGTTGGAACCAGTAATTATTCCATTTTTACCTGATTCACACAACAAAATTACCCTGTAAATATCAAGATGAATTATTAAGTGTGGCTATTATATACTATTATATATTTATTATAGTTTTTGTTTAGGTGAGTTTCTGTTTGGTCTGTGCTCTAATTGGCTTGTTTTGCTGTGGACATTTGACTTTCTGTGTTAGTTACAGGTCTACATCACAAGTAGCAACTTTGACTTATGACTTTGTGCCACAAAACTTCATTATTATCCAGAAACCTCAAAAGGCCATAAATGAAGAAACTGCTGCTTATGGACAGATTCCTCCATCTTTCGTTGTGACAGGCTGGGATTAGGGTTAAAATAATGCCTGCTTTATTCTTTAACCAAATTACTTCCATGATGATGTCTAAAGCTGTGTTTACACCAGAAATCACTCTCATTTTGTTTCAGGAAAGAGACTGACTCATCATCTGTCTAAATGATTGTGACTTTTTTGCCTCCTAGTTCACTCTGTCTAAACACTGAACTGCAGCACTCAATGTCTAACCGGAGAAGAAGGGTGGGTTTGAGCTTTTATTAAAGGTGGATTGAATGTTTCTTTTTATATTCTGTAACTGTAGAGTGAAAGAACATGAGTAGCAGTGTGGGAGAGATGATGCATGGCTGACAGGAAATGAAAGGACAGGAAATGGCACTAAGGGTTGATAGTAGGGTTGAATTTTCTAACTGATGAATTCTAATGTTAGCTTCTATAGCTAATTATGCGTGCACCTGCAGCTTGTGTTTGCATCCCACGCTATTTCCTGTTTTGCCCTCTTTTTATGCAAGTAAATGTTGTCTTTCCAATTCTGGTCTGGCTGCAGTAAAGGTTGGAAACCCCCCTGTCTGTGGTGTACATTCAGTTCTTAGCTGTTGGCAGTGGGCAGTCCTGTATCTGAGCCTCATCCACTGACCCCTCTGGCAGATGAACTGTCATTGTACAGGCACGAATCCCCCCAAGAGGCTCTAGAACCTTGAACACTCGGTCCCACACATCCTGCTCTGGATCATACCGCTGCACAAAGTCAACCATGCACTTGGTGTTCCAGGAATACCCTCCCACCACGTAGATCTGCCCATTAAACACCGTGACACCAACGTCGCTCTGGCCCCGGGGCATCGGGGCAACCACAGTCCACTGGTCAGTCTCAGGACTGTAGTATTCACAACCCAGGACGTCGTCATAGTCGCTGCAGCCTCGGAAGTGATTGCCGCCCATGACATAGAGTCTGTCTCTGACGGTGCACATGCAGTGAAGACCGCGGAACTCCATCATGTCGGCCCGTTGACTCCATGTGTCAGTGATAGGATTGTAACACCAGAGCTCCTTCTGGAAGGTGTCGCGGGTGATGCCACCTGTGTGACAAAAAGATTCCAACAAATATTAGTGTTAAATTAAAATAGTTACAAATATTCCTCCATAAAAACTCTTACAGGTACAAAATGTGTTTTATTAGAAAGAGTAGGTGTACTTGGGTACACTCAGCCTACATCATAATGTTAAGTGTAAACACTTCTCATTAATCATTTTCAATTGATTAATAAATAGTTTATAAATGCAAAAATTAGGACAAATGTGTATTACACTCTATTTACTTTGACTGATCTAATTAACTAGTTAGCTCTAGAGCATATATCCTTATTAATGTGTTCTTTTCTTTGGACACTCTCTCAGTCCTGTTATTTGGGTGATGGATACATGTGGGAAAATATCACTGTATGCAACGCTGCACCTGAGTTAATCCGCTATGAACTCAGTTGTAATATTTAAAATGCTCACTATGCATCCAAGAAAAACTTTGCTATAATGGAAATATACTAATGTGGGTATTCGTGGGTGAGTTTGAAGTTGTGGTCAGGTACTTTCCTCTGGCCTGACACTGAGAACGGTATAACTTTAAACTTCCTCCCACACGCTAAAGATGATGAGTGATCTTTTGTGCTTAGGTCCTTATCTGAAAGAATTTTTTTTTCAAACAAAGGCCTTTTTCTAAAAAAACCATCAGTCTTTATAAGTTCAAGGTCTGTTTTGCTGTTTAGAGCTGAAATGTTTAATCAGTTTATCAATTAGTTATTCATAAAATTAATTGGCAACAACTTTGATAACTGTGTAATCATTTTTGTAAAATTTTAAGAAAAACTTCCTTTTTCAAGCTTCTCAATTGTGAATAAGTGTTGATTTCTTTGTTTTCCATGTTGGGCATGTCAAAGAAGGAATTTCATTATATCAGCTTGGACTTTTTTAAAGAAACAGTGATAGTCATTTTTCTAAGGATTTACAAACCAAATGACTCAATGATTAACTAAGGAAATCAAGAGCAGATTAATGTTACATGTACAATTTTTTATAGCAGAACAAAAGGTGAACAAGTTGTTGAATACTGTTGCAATATGTTTTGTTGTACAGTATATATGTAGTAACCACTTCTTGTTTTAGGAGTGAAAAAATTCAACGGCTTCATTTCTTACTATATGTAGAGACCTCCATTTGAGATCAGAGTGTTTATCTCAGGTTAGATGGTTCAAAAATGTTTGTAGCTACTAAGGAACAAATCTGTGACAACCTGATAATGGATCACTTGTTAATGGCTAATTACTAAATAACTAATGCAGTCCAGCACAATGGTCCTACAATAAAGCGTCTTCATGAGAGTGACAGTATTCAGGCAACCTGGACATTTTCATCTCCAGACCACATGTCATGTTTCGGCATCCAAGGGCAGCTATTCACCATGTTAATGTTATACTGCAGGTGAAAAGACTGGTACTAATCAACTACCACAGCTCTGTTGCTGTCCAATTTGCAAATTTCAGCCACTGTTAGCTCATTGGTTTGATTATTCAAATTGACAAGATAAAAATCATCACTTAATTTTAAAAAGTGGACAACTGCATACAGTACATGAGCTTGCACAACCTTACTCTATGTGTGAAGATAGGTCAGACAGGTCTGAGACACCACTGATTGTGGACTGATGTTAAAGAGGAGAACAAAAACCTGCACAGGAATCCTCAGGATGAGTTGTTCCTACTGCCTGTACATTTGTTAGGCAGCTGGTTGTGTTAACATGTTGGCCAGAACACAAAGAAGCTAGGCTAAGAAGTTGCATTTTGGATTTTTGTCTCAAGTGGTCCACAGTTGCACAGTATTGCATATCTACATGTACTGTGAATTAAAATGCAACTATTTTGCAAGTGTCCTGTAATATTTAACCCTTCTCCTTACTGTTTAACTTATACTGAGCCAGAGCTGCAACTCAAAAATTGTCAGGTGGAATGAAATGAATATAGTATGTCTTGTACTTGTTGTATTCTGGTGAATGTTACCCACACAGTACAGCAGCACAGAGTCATAGGTTTTAACTCTGTTGCACAGAGCTGTGGCCCACTTCAACCACAGGTCTGTGTATTTCCTATGTGAAACTTATGTTTCTGTTCGCAGTATGAGAAACCTGCCTGACATCAGATAGAGAACAGGCCACGAGAGTCTGCAGCTAAACAGGAAGTGGTTTCAAATGGGTCAGCCAAGCAAGCTTTGTCAATTCATCACGTCAGTGTGGAACCTTCTGTCACCTTTAGACAATCCTTTCCAAACCTGCCAAAACAGGTTTAGATCTGAGTGAATACATTCTAGATTCAAGGATCCCCCAGAGCACAAATGTGCTCTGAATCCTATGGTGCACTGTTGGACTATTGGACTCCCAAAGTAATGGCAGAGCAGCCATTTGTCTCTCCTTCCTGTACAATGTTTAACAGTATATAGGTTTTGTGATATTTTAAAGGCACTGCTGTTGATGTTGACAGCCAGAGATTTTAAAGGAAGATTGCTTTACATCACAGCTGCTTGACATTAATACAATCAGTAAACCCACAGTTATGGTTTCTATTTCTGTTTAAATTCCCTCTGTGGGTTTCAGGGTTAGAGCACTCCTCAAGGCTTTTCTGCCTCCACATTTGACTTTCTTCTACTTCGATTCTGCTTTAATTAGTCATTGTTATAATTTGTGAGGCTTTTTCAAAACTGTTTCCAGCCAAATGCATGGGCACTACATATCAGGAATCCCATTTTACACCTGACACCAACTAACAAATAAATGGCCATTTATTATGACCTTAAATAGGACTGTTCTCACCAGAGAAAGAATGGGTCATTTGGTGCAACCCTTAATTAACCTTTGAGCATGTTTTTTAAAGTGACCTCTGTCAATTGCATCAATAATGACTGTTCTCTCGCAGTAGCAAAGGGAGAAGTTGCATCACATTGCTAAACAGCTGCAAAAAAGAAAAAAAAACGCTGAGTAAGGACCTTAGTTTGAATGGTTGGGTGCACAAAGCACATGCTGTCATACCACTAAACACTCAAAACTGGTTTCATTTTTACAACAAACTCAAGCTTTCCATAGATTTAACCATGACCATGATCATTCCTGAACCTATAGCTTGTGTAGCCTAAACTTAGCCAGATCTTAACCACACAGGCCTTGGATCAGAAAATGTCCATCTGAGTCACGATTTACATTCAGAGGGGTAGTTTTGGAAGGCACTGACAAACAGATTATTTGGTATGAAGTATTTGTTTCTTTTCTGCCTTTTTCAAAATCTTGACATCCAGTTTTGAGTCTTTTGTTTTATCTAAAACTATCTCTATGCTACAGTATGTGCTTACTTTCAGCCTACAAATAGTTTTTTATGTTACTGTTTTTGAGTTGCATATGTTATTTTGTAACTTCTTGGTATTTTATTTCTGTATCATAAAAACCCAACAACATTTTTGACAGAACATGATGTGGTGTGACACATATTCAATAGAAAGACCAACTGTAAGCCACTCACTTTTCTGAAGTGGTACCATTTATCAAGCCTTTATTAGCTGTAATTAATAGCCTTAATAATGTTAAAGCACCATTTACTAATGGCGCCAGGTTGTGGACAATCCTCCTCTGGCATGATACTTTACAAGAACCTAAATTCATAAGGCAGACTTGTCCAAGTCTGCAGGTAAATGTTAGCAAGAGATTGAATTATTAGCTTTTTGATTCTCAGTTTGTTTGTTTTTTTTATTTTGTAATATGTCATGAGTAAGAGCTGTTCACCTGTAAATGTGGTCAAACAGTCCATATTGGGAATCTCACCAATGAATTAAAAGTGTCAAAAGTTTTTCCACAACCTGGCAAACCAAAACTTGTTATTATTAATGGCTTGCAACTGCTCTATAAAGCAGTAGTAAATGATTTACTAACAGTAACAGAGCTATTACAGCCTTTGCAAAGGGCGCCTTATCCATACTTGTTCTACTGAGACCAAGACACATCCTCCAGAGTAGCAAAACCTGAGCCAAGACATGTGCTCTTATCCTGAGGAATTATGAATCTGATTAATACATGACAGAGACTATGAAAGAAGGGCAAGAGAGGTGCGAGAGCCTGTGTTGTCTCAGAAATACACGCTGACAATTGTTGCACTGCCTGTTTGGGGCAGGTTAGATCGCAGATCAGATTAGTGTGAATAATGTGGCACATGTTCTGTCACACTACAGAGAGGCATTATTAGTTATCTGACCTGAGATGTACATGAGGTCCCTGTGAACTGCTCCAGCGTGTCCATAGTGGGGCTCCGGCATATGGCTCACAAATGTCCACTCGTTTGTTTTCAGGTTGTAGCACTCCACTGTGTCTGATCGGTGGGGCAGAGAGGAGTTTGGGCTTTAATCTTATTTAAGCACGAGCTTGTCCAAGGGCAGTTAAAGAATCTTGATTCACAAAAAGCAGCAGTGGTAGGAACAGAAGCAGAAGTACTATAACTATAACTATGAATTAAAGTATTATTATTTTGATACAGTAATCCTTTAAAGGGTGCTAATTTAATTCAACTTTTCTTAATGCACCGCATTAACATATTAAATGATGACGAGGCAGTGGCAGAAGAAGAAGAATTAGCAGTAACTCACCGATCTCTCCACAGGCATTCCTTCCTCCGACTGCAAAAAGTTTCCCCTTCAGCGCACTGAGGTGGAAGAAGGTCCTCTTCTCGTTGAGCGACGCGATCTGAAGCCACTTGTCGAAGCGCGGGTCGTAGCGGTAGGCGCTGTCTATGGCCGTCTTACCCTTGGTGTCGTATGTGCTCTGGCCTGAAAAGTCAACCATACATTTGGCATTAAATTACAGCATGTCAGTCCTTGACCAGACGTTGTTTTATCTTGGTATTTCTTAAAAACATCACTTGTTTACATAACTTCCTATAATTTAGGTGCTCACTGAGACTTGGTAATATGGTGTAGTTTCTTTAATTTTGTGTTTGACACAAGAACTTGTGTTATTCTAGTTTTCAAGCCGGTGGGATTTCTCCTTTCCATGTAATTTGCATTTCCATCGTCTCTATTAAAAGTTTTTGGTGATATGTTCGTCTTAAAATACCTAAAACAAATAAACAATATCCTGCTGGGAGTGTATACAGTGTGCGGTACAGTAGCCTACACAGCTGGTGCACTGACCTCCAACAATAAAGAGGAAGCCGCCCAGAAGAGCCACGCCATGCTGATAGCGTGGCGCTTCCATGGGCTTCAGGGCCCTCCAGTGACCGGTCCCTTCATCATACAGCCGCAGCTCTCGGCTCACCACCAGCTGCTGCCGCATCACACCCCCTAGTGCCAGGATGTGTGTGGAGTCTGAGCGTATTTGTGTCCGTTCAGTTTGCAGCGCTGGCTGCATGAAAGGCATCATTTGATAGTTGCTGGCTTCCAGCAAGAGGTTCACACAGGCCGTTTCTGAGCGCATCATGGAGTCAGCTCCCTCTTCGTCACCCTGAGAGAGCTGAATCAGTTCACTGGGGCTCATCAGTGGAAAGCGGATATTGCGCATTAAGGCATAGACCGATGAGTGGCGTTTGGGAAGGTCATGCTCCAGCCATCCTCTGGCGATGTGGAACAGCTCCATCTCAGAGAATCCTTTAAGGGAGTTGCTGGACAGGGCGTTAGCCATGGTGGTCTCAGAGAGCTGCAGGTGACGACCACACTGCACCAGCGCGGACAGGTTCTGGCTCACAAACTCACCTTGGTTTGAAAGAAATCAAGAGTCTCATCAGTTTGAATGCTATTCTTCCAGTTTATTAGAGTTTTGGAACAAAATGGATGCAAAGCAAATTTTTAGTGAGCTTGCTTTATGAGTTGCTACAGATAGTGGACGGATGAATGGTTAGGCTGCTTTGTTACCGTGCTCTTCACAAGTCACATACTGAATCTCTCACCTATGTTCAGCTGAACATCCTCCAGAATCAGATCTGTGGCAATACGTTCGACTTCCACACAGTTATCAATAGTGATCTGCATCAAAGAAAAATTCAGAAAATGTAAGGATTGAATTATTATAAATCGCCTCCCCTTCATTGCTGCTGCAACTGTTAACAATCATATACATGGCTCATAATGTCTGTTATTCAGTGCTGTATAACTGACACTAGGAATGTGTGGATGGCAAGAACAGCAAAGCACACAGAGGGATTTGGCAGTTATTGAGCTGCTATATGTGCCTGAATGAAATGAATGAATGTGCACCACCTTGCAGAGGCAGTTAGTGTGACATTAAAGTGAAAGAGAAGTCTCTCACCTCACTGCTCAGTAGCTGATTGCAAAAGTTCAGGACAGGCATGACCTGCAAAAAGTTTGCAGCCTCCAGTGTGTCCTGGAGATTATCCATGTCCAAGCTGACTTTGGCTGTGTAAATGAAATCTATAATGTTCTTTAAACCCGCCTTAGTGACCCCATGCAGCTTTATCTCTCTCATCTCCTGCTCCCTCATACCTACTAAACAAAAACAAAGAGACAAAGACAAGGTCAAGAAATTTGTTTGCATTATTTCTGAAGGTTTATCTTGTTCAGGCAAGGCACAGTGCCAAACTACACAACCAGCAATGTGCAACAATACAACTGGCACGGTAAACCGCTGCTGCTCAGACATAAACAACATGAGGATAATAGAAGTGCTGCAGTTCATTATGTTGTCGAATGCAAGCATCTTCAGTGAAGCTACAACCAAGAGGAAACTCAATGTAGAAGTGAGTCAGGATGTCAACATGTACTTCCCCTTTTGTTTTACTATATGGCATGTTTATCCAAAAGTGAGAGTACAAGTAGCAGCAACCACAAAAAATAATGATGTTGGCACCTTCTGCATTGAAATATCAGTAACACATCACTTTACAGGTCTGTAGATTCTGGGAAAGAACCATACTCACCTGTGAACATTGCCTTGAAATAGTCACTGCATGAAGCCATTATAACTCTGTGCACTGGGAATGTTTCCTTGCTGTCTCCAGGAATTAAGACTACGTCACAGAGAGTTTCATCTGCCCGAAATGTATCCAAGCCCTTTGGGAAAAACAGCATTTGTCAATGATATCTGTTGCATTTTAACAATAGTAAGTCACAATTAGTAAGGCTGAGAAACTGCAGAGGGCAATGGTACTACTAGGGTCTTCTCTGTCACTTCATTTTGCTAATGATGTTAGCTTCAATAGGAGCCCCATTGAGGAGCATTCTTTTTCCCAGCAAATATGCAGAGAGGACACCTGGTGAAAAAATATTTTTAAGATGTTCGTCTCATCAGTTGAGTGCAAGACAAACTCCTTTTAATTAAATATATAAAATCCACTCATGACAAGAGGTACAGTATTATATTTTAAGCATGACGCAGTCCTTATTTTGAAGAAAAAATGTTGTTTACTTCCATTTTTGCTCCCAAAAATAAACCTTTAACCATGAGCCACTGACTATATACATCACAAATACTGTATGCAGTATACCTGCAACACAGCTGCTCCATGTTCAGTGCTACTGAAACCCTTGGATAGGGGCCGAGGGGGATGTTTGGGCTTTGTGGCTTTGTCTGGGCGTTTAGGTGGCATATCAGTGGGTGGGGTGAGAGGAGCAGGAGCCCTTGCTGGAGTGAGAGATGGAGGTGGATCAGCGGCTGGTGGAGGCCTCTCATCTAGAGTCACAAACCAAAATGCTCAACATGCATTGAGAAACAAGAAAGGTCATGATACGTGAATGTCTAAGCATTAGTAACAGAATACATAATACTCCAGTGTTGTATCATGTTTTTGGACCATTATTACAATTTGTAGGCAGTAGTTGTTTGAGTTTAAGCTAACTTTGGCTGTGTCATATACAAAGGGTATAGTTCAGTCTATAACAATGTATTATACAGTGTTTTATAAAATAATCCATTGTAAAAGCTTAATCTGAAATGTAACTTCTAGCTGTTGTTGTCAGTAAATGCAATGAAATAAAAGAAGGTGAGTAAAATGGAAACACTCAAGCACTTAAGCACAGTACTTGAATAAATATACTGAGTCATTTGGTGCACTCCTTTACATTCAGTTGTGCTGTGTTTGCATGCACCATTTCCTTCTCGTCTCTCAAAGCCACAGAAGCCACTGAATACCCACCCTGTTGAACAGGTGGAGCAGGAGGTCTTTCTGGCTGGGCTGGAGGTCTAGGCAGATCCCTGGACTGATGCCTGCTGCCCAGACGAGACAGTCTGCGGCTCAATCTCCCCGGCCCGCTGTCATCGCCACTTCCCCTACAGAGGAGGAGCCATAGTGCAAGAACAGGTTGTGGTTTACTGTCATGCTGCATCCCCAAACACTCAATGTGACCAAAGTGATGGTCGAGTGTGTCAAGTCTGCATCCAAAACAGCCCCACAGATAAAATTTTATGGACCTGTTTATGCAGTCTGTTTATGCAGTTGTGGGTACATGAGTAGTAAAAGTAAGCTTAGGGGTCAAGATTTATTTAGAAAGTTATGGCAGTTTCACCCATACAGTAGACTTTTATTCTCTGTCTCTTAACACTTCCTCTTACTGTAGGTTTTGTACAAATACAAGTTCAGTAGTAACAACTCTTTTACTCCTTATATGGCCCAAAGGCCAGCTTTAGCCACTTGAGGCATTTGATTAACGGAGCCTGTTTCCAGCCTACTCAGCCCATTTTATAAACGCCCCTAATCTGTTGATGTGCTGTTTCCTGTGACCTGAAAAGGAGGAACCAGTTAGATGTTTTTGGCTAAACGTTTTAAAACTGCTTCATGCCAAGCTGTTTCCACAGAATAGGTCCAGTTAAAGTTAAAAATGAAGCAAATACTCAGAGAAATAATAACTATTAAAAATAAATCAAAGAGTATTTCAAGTTTCAATTTTGAAAATTAAAAAAGTTAGAACATTGCTCGAATTAGTTTTGATTGTGCAATTTGGCATTAGGCTGATAAACCAAACTTTTTTTTTAAATAAACTTGAACTTAATTTTCTTTTTTTCATTTTTTTAATGGATTAGTGTGTTGATAAGCATAAAACAAAAGCTTATTGACAGGTCTTGTAATTCATAAAAACCACTGGAGAACAACCAAATTGTACACAGAATTTCATGTTTAAATATTTAGCATATTAATTGTGTTAGTTACTAGAAAAAATTAACTCAAAATAAACAGCATGGGTTCCTGTTATTCAGAGAAATAAACATACTTTACTGCACAGTAGCAGGTGTCAAAATAACAATAGTGAAATCAAACACTTTAATCTTCTATGACCTTGTTTCAAAGCTCTAGGAATTTTTTATTCAATAACAACCTTAACTAATTTTCTGTATACATTATACAAGGATGTTGAAATATGAAAATGAATGTGCATTACTAAGAAGTGAAACTAAACACTGAAGTCCAAAGAAACACTTTACCCCATAACATTGGCCTCCTGAGGACTGTTGTTGTGCTGATGAGACTTCCTATGTGAAGGCAAAATATGGGTTTCAGTAGACAGATATGCAGAAGTTTGTGTTACATAGTATTGTTTAGTAGTGTAGACAGTACAGGAAACATTTTGTATCCTATAGCTGGATATAGACAGATGTTCATTTGTATGAATGTTCATCCACATTAATGCAAAAACAATTTTTGGGCAGCATGTCAAACACTATGATAAATAAATTTGTTGTATTTGATAGGGCCTTGCTTGTTGGCAGACAGCACAAACCTCACTGAATCTGACTTTAAACCTTTACAAAAAAATGTTCCAGTAAAACAATATTTCACCTCATCAAACAGCATTTATGAGTTACTACTGTTAGAAATCTGTGAGCTTTAATTTATTATGAAACCTTCAGTTTCCACATACTCTGTATTGCAGGCTACACCCAGCTTTATAAGCAAAATCAGCTCTGTCACAGGTTTTGTGGTTATTTTTGTGTTTGGTATTTTGCAAGCACACACAGCTTTTTGTATACTTAAACAAAATAATTACCAACAATCAGAGATTTATTCTCACTATGTGTGCTGACCATAGTCTCTAGTTTGTCTTGTTATATTTAGTTACCTTTCTCTTTATTTTTACACCTGTTGTAACTACATTGCATTCCACAAAAAATATCATCTCTGTGCTTGTAGCTGTAGTCTTTTCAAATTACTCTAAGTATTGGATAACACAGTATTGTATGTAATAAACAAGAGTCCAAGAGTCATGAGTGCACTGGAGTCTCTCTCCTACAGCGGTGACACTTAATGGAACACAACCATGTGAACACACACACATAAATCTGGAGCTGAATCTAAAACAAAAAGGATGCCTTTCCCACCTGGAAGAAATCCTCCTCAGCAAACTGGACCCAAGGCCTCTCTCCAGTCTGTTCGTCTAACCAACCAGAGCTCTGAGAGGAACAATGAGCAGAAAATGTCTGCTGCACTGCACACTGGTTAGAGAGCTGAAGCTTCTAAACGAGCTTGATCTTTTCTTTAGCTTAACCGAGACCTCAGTCACTTCCTGTGCTACTTCTCTTTCTCGCTGTTTGTGTTTTTCCGCATCTTGATGCTCTCCACACCAGTTTATAATGTGCTTTGTGAGCTAATCAAGTTCCACTGGCTGTTTTTAAGGTTTTGAATTTAGTATGTGGGCTCAGTAGCAGGCCTTTGATTAGCAAGACAAGACAAATATGACTATCTAAATGGAGGACTGCATTGTCTAAAACCATTCATTCTTACCATTTTTCTTACATTATTTTCATTCCTTTTGCTTGTGAAAGCTGAAAACATGTAACACACTCAACAAAATCTCATGTAAAGACAACAAAACATCTTTTGATCTTATAAGATGGCAGGTTGTACAGTAGTTAACTCTGCTTTGTGAACTACAATCACTGATCAAGTTAGCTTTCCTGTCCTGTTCACTAACTTTAAAAGAAACTTAAAAAACACTATAGAGTGAATTTTACCATCTAAAGAATTAGTGTGTCATGTGCTGATCCTGCATCTGAATCTTTTCTGTATTAAAACAGAATTATTATACATGTAAATTTATTCAGTATAAGATTGGAAACCAAAAGAAAGAGAGACTTCTGCTACATTTGTTATCATCTGAAAATAACAGATCCAGAAAGGGGCAACAAGTCTTCATCACCTCAGCAGGTGTTTATTCAACCACAAACACTGGCAGCAGTTCACGCTGTCATGTATGTCATTATCTGTCACAGTCAATACAATAAAATTAAAAAAGGTTTGTTGGTTTCATAAGTACCACCATCCTTTCCAATCCAAAAGCAAAAATATTTTGATTATTCACTTGATACTGTAACTCTGCCAACACCCCTCAGCTTTCCCAAGACTCTCTTTCTCTTGTACACTCGGGCATGAAAACAAGTGGGATGTCAGACACACGTCATTTCCAAATTGTGGGAGCTGCTTGCATGTCTTGTGTTCTGATGTGAACATCTCTCAGTTTGAGATGGTTCAGTCTGTGGCTCTCTTGTCATCACTTTTGTTTGGCTTTAGCACCCGGTCCTGTTCACCAGGTGCCATGTTCGCCTCAGTGCTGCCCTCTGCTGGCAGGTTAGAGTTTGGAGAGTTGAATGAGGTTCCTGTTGATTTCAGCCACATTCCTGCAGCCTGAGTGAGAAAAATATAAAAATGCCACTGTTGTTTTGGTTAATTCAAAATATTGTTGGACTTATTTTGGGACAAAAAACATTATCATGGCTTCCTTGGTCGCTGTTCATTTTTAGTGACTTGACCTGACATTTCAAACTCACCTGATAAAGCCATGGACAGACGGAACTCATCACTTAAGATTTGCAGGACTTCCCTCACTCCTTCCTCACCCTGAAAGATTGCTCAGGAAACATCACGATTATACAAAACAAAGAAATCCTATAATCTAGCTAAACATAAATGCATATCAGCTTTAGTTTTGAAGATGTTCTTTTTCATTAAATTATGTCTGTAAACTGTGACTCCACAACCAACACACTAGGGGTGCTGCTGATTTTCATTTTGTATGAAAACATACAGTCCATCAAAATCTTTATGGAATTAATTGAGTTCAGACAGCACAACAGCTATGTCAGTTCCAAACTATTACTAACCTGTCAAGAAGAGTGTAAATGTTTCACCAAGGCCCTAACTCCAGAAATGTCACTGACTTTTAAAGATAAACATCAGCTGTGAACAATGGTTAATATGTGAGTTAGAAACTAATCACTGAAAGAAATATGTCACGGTAGTTGGGTTGTTGTCAGTAATAATCTTTCAACAAAAATAAGCACCCTAATGTGATTATAATCAATTTTAAAACACACATGCACCCACAGTGCTGCAGTACCTTGTATGCAAGGCCCCACACTGCAGGACGGCCAATAAAAACACACTTGGCTCCCAGGGCAAGTGCTTTCAATACATCACTTCCTGTCCTGATTCCTCCGTCCACATAGACCTCAATCCTGCCCTGCACTGTGTCCACGATCTCTGGCAGGGCATCAATCTGTCAGCAACAGAGGTGAGGATGTAACAAAGCCAACATACTTCACAACAACACTGCACAGTGTGGTAAGTGTAGACTGGCTGCTTAGGCTACACTTCATGTTAAACCCCGTGTCTTACCCCAGGCTAAATAATGTCTCACTCTAATATTTTGAAAGAAGATCCCCAAAGGTCTGATGTTAACAAACATCACATAGGATTTTCAAGTTTTGACTTCTTTGAGCAAAACTACCTTGAAACTATGAAACTCACATCAGATTTACCATTCTCAAATACTATTACTGCTACATTAAAGGAAGGCATTAGTGCTACATTAAAGGAATAGGTTGACATTTTGGGAAATATAGCTAGATGAGATACCATTCCCATACCTGTGTGCTGAAGATGAAGCAGAGACAAAAAATGGTTAGCTTAGCATAAAGGCTGAAAACAGCTAGACCAACTCTATTCAAAGTAACAAAATCCACCCACCAGCACCTCTGAAGCTCATTAATTCACACATGTTCATCTAATCTGGAAAAAAAATCTAGTTTTACACGTGGTCATGTGCCAGGCTATTTTAGAGCACAGTAACTTCAATAAGTCTCATCCTGTTGTGTAGCAACCTCACAGCAACAACAAGACTTAAGAAGTGCAGCTTGTTACTTCTACACTAGGTACAGTCTTGAGAATAGCATCAACAATCTCATCTAACACTTGGCAAGAGTCTTTAATTATACAGCTATGCATTTTGTTGCTTCTAGTACCACTATCACCCACACTAATACTGCAAATATAGTTAGTTAGCTATTGCTTGTAAGGGAGAACTACTGCAGCTGTTACTACTAGTCTAGTTGTCCTTTTCATAAGTGTATTGCTACTACAGTACCACTACTAAAGCAAAACAGTTATTGCTACTACAGCTATGGTTCTAATGTTTGTATTGACTACTGCTTCTTATTCTAGCACTACAACCACTGGCAATACCAGTACTTATAACTCATATAACTAAGTAGGCCTATAACTAGTAAGTACAGACACAAGATGTTGCTAAATATAACGTAAGTAGAGGTATGGCCAATAAGTACCGAGGCTAGGCCTCCGTCCAGCTGTCTCCCACCATGGTTTGACACAATGATGCCCTGGACGCCATGCTCCACCGCCAGCTTGGCATCCTCTTTGGTCAGAATGCCCTTGATGATGATGGGCAGGTGGGTGATGGACTGCAGCCAGTGGACATCCTTCCAGCTGATGGAGGGGTCTAAGGTGTTGGCTGGGACCCCATACTCATCTGGGACTGCAGTCTCCTGCTTACAGTGCATGTTGTACAAATACAACTTTATATACTAATGTAAGCTAGACTACTACTGTTGCCTGTACTTTTACTGATAATGCATCAATTATTGTTACAAGACAGTTCTGACACTGCTGATACATGGAGTTTGGATTTTTAATGGCTTGTATTTAATAGTTTTAAGAGTACTGTTACCTGGAATATGCCATCAAAATTCTTGACTTTGAGGTGTGGTGGCAGCTTAAACTGGTTGCGGATGTCATTACGACGTTTTCCAGTGTAGGGGACATCAACAGTGAGGACCAGGGCCTTATAGCCCAGCACCTCTACACGGTGCACAATCTGCTCTGACAGTTTCCGGTCCCGGTACACATAAAGCTGAAACCAGCGATAACCATTTGGCGCTGCTGCTGCGATCTCCTCCACTGAGCAAGTGGAGTAGGTGCTGGTGATGTAGCAGGTGTTGAGTGCCTCAGTGGCTGTGTGGGGGAAAATAGAGAATTATTACTGTGGCCATTAAAGGATCATGTCACAGTGGGCCCCTGAGCATAGACATGTAAAATGACACCCTCCCCCCAAGCAAAATATAATCTGCTTATTTTTGCATTTCATCTTGAATGTTGTTAAAGATGTTTTATATATCTCAGCATTTAGCATCTTTTTGCAGTTGTTTTGTGTATTTAATGATATTTTGCCTCTTAGTGCTCATGTTATGTCTTTTTGTGATTGTTTTGCATCTCCTTGCCAAATGTTTTGTGTCTTTTACTTGTTGTTTTGTATCTCATTCTGACCAGTTTTTTGCAGGCAAGCTCCAGATGCCCCCTAGGTCTTTACCTGTTCAGTAAGCCATCCAAGATCAAATTAACATGTATATCTGTCACAGCAGGCTACTGTAAATCATTTTTGGATCTTACAGCACAAAATTATTGCAAACCTGTGCTCTAGTGACTGGCTCCTGGACTTTCTGATTGGCAATAGAACTTCAGCCAGCATTATCACGAACATCAGTACCCCACAGGGATGTGTCCTCAGTCCCATCGTCTACACTTTGTTCACCCACAACTGTGTCGCCTCCCACAAAGACAAAATCATCCTAAAGTTCGCAGATGACACCGCAGTGATAGGTCGCATCACTGGCGGGGACGAAGCAGCCTACAGGAGGGAGGTGGCCGGTCTCGTGTCATGGTGCAAAGACAATAATCTCAGCCTCAACACGGACAAGACGAAGGAGATGATAGTGGACACGAGGAAGGAGAGGAGATGATAGTGGACACAAGGAAGGAGAGGAGAAGTCATCGGCCACTGTTCATCCGGGGCTTGAAGTGGAGAGGGTGAGCAGCTTCAAATACCTGGGCGTCCACATCAGTGAGGACCTCACTTGGACACTTAACACCACACAGCTGGTCAAGCAGGCCCAACAATGGCTGTACTTCCTGAGGAGGCTGAGGAGGTTTGGCATGTCGCCTAGGATCCTCAGCAACTTCTACAGCTGCATCATTGAGAGCATCTTGACCAGCTACATCACTGTCTGGTATGGCAGCACTACTGCTATGGACCGCAAGTGCCTGAAGAAAGTGGTAAAGATTGTGGAGAAGATCACCTGGACTCCACTGCCATCTCTGCAGAGAATTTACCACCGCAGTGTGTGTAGAAAAGCTGCCTCCTTCCTCAAGGACCCCACCCACCCAAAGTGGTAAAGATTGTGGAGAAGATCACTAGGACTCCACTGCCCTCTCTGCAGACCATTTACCACCACAGGGTGCATAGGAAAGCTGCCTCCATCCTCAAAGATCCCACCCACCCCCAGCACGGACTGTTCACCTCCCTACCCTCTGGCCAGCCTGTACTGTTTACATACTCATTTTGCACATGCATGCTCATTGCTGAATATTTGCACATCACAGCTTCCCATGTAGCATATATTCTCTCTACATTATATTGTGTTCTTGTATTTTTATTTGCTTCTTTCACTTGCTGCTTTAAAGTGCCTTAGATTTGTGTTACTGCCTATTTAGATTTGTGTTATTGCTCATCTACTTAATATTTCAGTTGTATTGTGTGGCATTCATGTGGACGGCAAAGTAAGAATTTCGTTGTACAAGAAAACACATTTCCTAACTGTGCATATGACAAATGAACACTTTGAACCTTTGAACCTTGAACCTAGTGTTGTTTAGTAACATTGTTACTAGATAAAAACATTGTGACAACAAAATAAAAACTTGCCAGAAACTTTGAAAAACATCTTTTTATGTTATGAAATGGTCTCATGAGCTCCTCTAAACAGCACTGGTTGTCATATATGAAACTCATTGGTTTCTTCAATAGTGCAATAGCCCAAAAGCCTTCAAATGAATTTTAATAATTACAGTCACCAGCTCTGTAATAAAAAATTTGAACTAACAGGAAGCCATTTTGATTCATGAAAAAAGATTGCTTCTACAAGTTTCTGGACTTCCACTAGCACTGTATCGGTTCTTCTCCTTACTGTGCACACACATTCATACACACTGATACAGAGCTCACCACGAGCTGTAGCCACCTCCCCTTCGTGCCAGGCCAGGCAGTGAAACGCAGTAGGTGCAATACCAACTGGAAAACTGATTTCTGTCCCTTGCACTGTGGTCCGAGTGTTGCTCGCTGACACGTCCCTCAGGATACGAGGCCTCAGACGGATCCTGAATATAAAGAACAGATCAGCGTTTAAATAATAACATCAAATGTACCAGGGATGAGGTGGATTCAAATAGGCAAGGGTGTTCACTCAGATTGCAATTAGAACGTTTTGCTAAAAATTGTTGAGAAGGCACATCTAGTACATCTAATTAGAGCACTGTCATAACAGCAAGGCAACAAAAATACCTCCCCAGTGTATCATGGAGAGGCAGAGAGATACCCATGGCAAATGTCACCAGATGGACATGAATTTTCCACCACCTTACACACTTTTAGTTAACGTTTTACCACATTTTCTCCTTCACCTTATTAAAAAACACTCTGTGAAAGTGTGAAACAAAACCAACCTGTTGACAAAGCCCTGCACAAATTTAATAACCATAATGTCCCTCCATGCATCCATCTTCTTCCGCTTATCTGGAACGTCGCGGGGGCAGCAGTCTAAGCAAAGATGCCCAGACTTCACTCTCTCCAGACACTTCCTCCAGCTCCCCCTGGAGGAATGCTGAGGCGTTCCCAGGCCAGCCAAGAGACATAGTCCCTCCAGCGTGTCCTGGGTCTTCCCCGGGGCCTCCTCCCGGTGGGACATGCCCGGAACAGCTCCCTAGAAAGGCGCCCAGGAGGCATCCGGAACAGTTGCCCGAGCCACCTCAGCTGGCTCCTCTCGATGTGGAGGAGCAGTGGTTCTACTCTGAGCTCCTCCCGAGTGACCGAGCTCCTCACCCTATCTCTAAGGGTGCGCCCGGCCGCCCTGCAGAGAAAGCTAATTTTGGCCACCTGTATCTGGGATCTTGCCCTTTCGGTCATGACCCAAAGCTCATGACCATAGGTGAGAGTAGGAATGTAGATCAACCAATAAATCCTTACAGCTCATCTCCTTCTTCACCATGACAGACTGGTACATCAACCGCATTACTGAGGAAGCTGCACCGATCCACCTCTCAATCTCAAATTCCATCCTTCCCTCACTCGTGAACAAGACCCCAAGATAGTTGAACTCCTCCACTTGAGGCACCAACCTGAAAGGAACAAGCCACCTTTTTCCAACTGAGAACCATAGCCTCAGACTTGGAGGTGCTGATTCTCATTCCAGCTGCTTCACACTCAGCTGCAAACCATCCTAGTGCATGCTGAAGGTCTTGGTTTAATGGAGCCAACAGGACAACATCATCTGCAAAAAGCAGAGGTGAGATCCTGTGATCCCCAAACCGGACTCCCCTCTGGCCCCTGGCTGTGCCTAGAAATTCTATCCATAAAGATAATGAACAGAACCGATAACAAAGGGCAGCACTGCTGGAGTCCAAAAATCTGCAAAAAGCAGAGGTGAGATCCTGTGATCCCCAAACCGGAATCCCCTCTGGCCCCTGGCTGTGCCTAGAAATTCTATCCATAAAGATAATGAACAGAACCGATAACAAAGGGCAGCCCTGCTGGAGTCCAACATGCACCTGAAACAAGTCTGACTTACTGCCGGCAATGCAAACCAAGCTCCTGCTCCATCGTACAGGGACCGGACAGCCCTTAGCAAAGGGTATTATGGTTGACATTATGGTTACTCCTCCTTGAACCGCTACCTTTATGTAGTGGAGGGGTTTGAGTACCCAAATGATCCTAGGTGCTATGTTGTCGGAGGCTATATGCCCCTGGTAGGGTCTCCCAAGGCAAACAGGTGATGGGTCAGACTAAGAGTGGTTCAAGACCCCCTTATGAAAAGATTAATATCAAGGACCGTGATGTCGCCCAGGTATGGCGCAACCGGGGCCCCACCCTGGAGCCAGGCCCGGGGTTGGGGCTCAAATGCGAGCACCTAGTGGGCGGGCCTCTTCCCATGGGGCCCAAACGAGCAATGTGGGGACATCCTCCCGTGGGCCTACCACCTGCAGGAGGATCCATAAGGGGCTGGTGCATAGTGGCTCTTCTGTGCTAGTCACAGTTTGTCCATAACAATCACATGTTCAAGCATAAGGGTGTCCACCAGTGCGCGTGGCACCAGGACATCCTAGGCCAGAGGTTGATGATCGACTTTGTGATTGTTTCATTTGACCTCTGGCCATATGTCTTGGACACTCGGGTGAAGAGAGGGGTGGAGCTATCAACCACCTGGTGGTGAGTTGGATTCGATGGCGGGGGAGGAAGCTGGACAGACTCAGCAGACCCAAACATAATGTGAGGGTCTGTTGAGAACGTTTGGCAGAACCCCCTGTCCGGGAGATCTTTAACTCCCACCTCTGGCAGAGCTTCGACCAGATCCTGAGGGAGGCTAGAGACATTGATAGAGTGGCTAGAGTGGACCATGTTCTTCACCTCTATTGCTGATGCGGCCACTCGGAGCTGTGGCTGTAATGTCTCTGGTGCCTGTCATGGCAGCAATCCCCAAACCCAGTGGTGGACACCGGAAGTAAGGGATGCCGTCAAGCTGAAGAAGGAGACCTTTTGAGCCTGGTTTGCTCGTGGGACTCCTGAGGCAGTTGACGGATACCGGCAGGCCAAGCAGACTGCAGCCTGGGTGGTTGTGGAGGCCATAACCCGGGTCAGGGAAGAGTTCGGTGAGGCCATGGACAGGGACTATCGGTCTGCCTTGAAGAAATTCTGGCAAATCGTCCAGCGCCTCAGGAGGGTGAAGCAGTGTCCTGCCAAAAGTGTTTATAGTGGAGGTGGGCAGCTGTTGACCTCAACTGGGGACATCGTCGGATGGTGAAATATTTCAAGGATCTCCTTAACCCCGGTGTCATGTCTTCCAATGAGGAAGCAGAGGCTGAGGGCTCAGAGGTGGACTCGTCCATCACCCAAGCTGAAGTCACTGAGGTAGTTGAGAAGCTTCTCGGTGGCAAGGCACTGGGGGTGGATGAGATCCGCCCTGAGTACTTTAGGTCTCTGGACATTGTGGGGCTGTCTTGGCTGACACGCCTCTGCAACAGCGCATGGTGGTTGGGGACAGTGCCTCTGGACTGGCAGACCGGGGTGGTGGTCCCTCTTTTCAAGAAAGGTGACCAGAGGGTGTACTCCAACTATAGGGGATCACACTCCTCAGCCTCCCTGGGAAAGTCTATGCCAGGGTACTGGAGAGGAGAATACGACCAATAGTTGAACCTTGGATTCAGGAGGAACAACGCGGTTTTCCATAATATCAAATGAATTAATTCTCTTGAGAGAAATCCATTTTGAGATGGCTGTTTTTGCCTGACTTATATATTTTAGTATAAAGTGAGACAGTACACTCTGTGATTGTGTTTTCCCAAAGCTCTCACTTATCATCATCTCTCCAGCTCAGGACACAGCCCAGCCTTTATTCCTGATGGGGAAAATGTCTAAAATTCTTGCACGGTAACAGCCTCATATAGACCATCACAGTGAGAAAAAGCTGTTTAGCATTTTATCAGTCTTTATAAAGACATTAGGAAAGCTGAGAGCAGTGCACAAGTATACAAAAGTTCTGACAAGATATAAAAATCATGATCCTGTTTCTTTGTCTCATTGGCAACTTTTAAAAAACTACATGGGATTGGAGAAGCAACACAGCATGAGCACTGTGTAAAATTGAACCATCTGTTAGTGATTATAAGGCATCAAAACCACCACTGTGTATAGACATCAGTTACAGCAGTCCAAAGTCCACAAAAACATTTTACAGCTGTGTCCTCATATGATTTGCAGTTTAATGTTTAAACAGTTTAATCTTTGTAAGCTCACACTTGTGAAATGTGAACATTTTTTGGATGGATTTAAACTGCAAAAAGCTACTGCACAAGCTCAACAGTGACAACAGTTACTCTTTTTGCTGTCTGTAACTAACCAAAAAGAAGTATGTTTACAGTAGCACCCAGTGAAGCACTTAAATTGTCTCTTTGAATTTCTGGGTAAGCTATTTTTCCACTGTACCTTTTGTAAGCCAGTAGATTGTCATCTCTGGTGCAGCATTCATCAGCTCCAGATGCATAATAATCCCAGGTTGCCTTTGATAGATGCTCCTTAGCATACTCCTCAAAATCTGTCAGGCATACCATAGTCATCTCTGCACAACAATCTCTATCTCTGTGGGAGACATCATAAGTTTGCAGTGTAATGCTTATTAATATTGGCACATACAAGTAGGCAAAACAGCAGAAAAGGAAGGAGATAGTTATCACCTACTAATACAGATTCTACTTTTTGTTATATAATTGGCATATTTCAAGTTAAAGCAGTTCATGTATGTAACTAGAGACATTCCATTTCCAACATTGCTAAACACTTTTTTGTCTTTAACACAACCAGTCAGATCTCATATTTTTATCCATCTAGTGTCAGCTAGAAACAGGCTAATATCTGCAGGCACCACCAGCAAACAAGGACAGAAAAGTCTGGAATGAAAAACTAGTGTACATTCAGTAAGTTGCAGCTTCAAGACTTACCACAAATGTCTGATCTGTCATAAACAAAATCTCCCACTCTCACACGGCACAGCCTCCATAAAGGACTGATGCAACAGCACTGCTGAAAGTGAAACTCCTCCCATATCAGCAAATGTAGCGCAACCATATAGTCAACAACTCACCATTCAAACTCCTGCATTTTGATATGAAAGCAACTAAAATGTTTGTTTTAAACAGGTTAAAAGCCTTGTGTCTCTATCAGTCTTTATGTACACGGTGTAGCTTTTGTGTCAGTCAGAATCAAACTTTCATAGAGCCACTATGTGACCTGAGGGTGACCCCAGCTTATATTGTGTTTACACAAGCTGGAAATGTGCTGATAGAGAGGCGTCTGACACAGTTCTCTGCAGTCCAGATGGTACATACAGTAGCACATATAAGCATACAAAAGTACAGGCTGTGTACACACAGTACAGAGGATAGGTTCTGTTACTTGTCTTTATGCTAGGAAAAGTTTTAAAGTGTTATAAGCTTGTAGAAAAAAATGAGCTGGCGCCAACAGCAATGGCAGTCTTGGTTACTCGTGCTCTCTTGTGTTTGTTGTTTTTCCTTGTTTTCTCTGTCTTTTGCAACCCATCCCAGATTTCTTTTACTAGAAGAGAACTGTTAAATATCGGACAACTCACACCGAACTACCTTTCTTCAATTTTTGTGAATAAAGAATGTTGTATGGACATTCTGATTGGAGGTGCAGCTGCCATATATGGGACCTGGAAGAAACACAGGAGTGGCAACCGTACGAGTGCCTTGGTGAGACTATGCCAGAGAGGGACACGGACTCCACTCACATTTATCCACCTAGCAAATCTCCACTCCCTGGTCAACAAGATGAATGAAGTTCTTCTCATCAACAGGACTAACCCTGACTAGGCATGCTCTGCTGCCTTATGCTTCATGGAGACTAGGCTCAGCAACTCCATAGCGAACAGCGCGATACAAGTAGCGGGCTTCCAGGTGTACAGAGTGTATCATGTAAAAGAGCTGTGGGAGAAGACGAGGGGAGGTGGAATCTGTCTCTACATAAATGAAGGTTGGTGCACAGATGTCACAGTGCTACAGAGGACATGTAACACAGACTTAGAAACTCTTTTTATCAATTGCAAACCTTTTTATTCTCCCCGAGGATGTAACTGTTTATTCTAATTGGAGTGTACATAACACCTCAGGCCCACACTAGCGCACTACAGATACTGGCAGAACTGATAACTAGCCTGGGGCTAGAACATCCTGACTCTCCACTCATTGTTCTAGGGGACTTTAACAGAGAAAATCTCACCCACAAACTGCCCAAATACAGACAGCACGTCACCTGTCAGACCAGGGGCAAAATCACACTGGACCACTACTACACAGCAAGACAAAATGCCTATCGCTCTGTCCCCCATGCAGCCCTCGGACTCTCTGATCACTGTATGGTCCATCTTATTCCAACCTACAGGCAGAAACTTAAAGCTGCGAAGCCTGTGGTCAAAACAGTGAAGAGCTGGACTGAGGAGGCTAAGTCAGAGCTACAGGCCTGCTTTGACTCCACAGACTGGAGTGTATTTGAGACTGCAGCTACAGACCTGGACGGACTTACTGACACTGTGACATCTTATATCAGCTTTTGTGAGGATGTGTGTGTGCCCATAAAGACCTTCTGCACATACAACAAAAACAAGCCGTGGTTTACAGCAAGGCTCAAGCAGCTTTGTCGTGCCAAAGAGGAGGCTTACAGAAGTGGGGACAGGACTCTGTACAGCCAGGCCGGGAACACTGACAAGGGAGATCAGAGCAGCAAAGAGGAGCTACTCTGAAAAGCTGAAAGCTCAGGTTTCAGCCAACGACCCCTCGTCTGCGAGGAGAAGCCTGAAAACCATCACTGGCTACAAAAAACCATCCCCCCCTGCTGTGGAGGACCGTCAACTAGCAGATGACCTGAATGTGTTCTACTGCAGGTTTGACAATCAACACCCCCCCCCCACCCTCCCCACCTCAGACCCAGCAGCTGCTCCCTCGACAATCCCAACCCTTCCCTCCAGC